CACACACACACACACAAACATGAACAATTCCAAATGTATACACACATTCCTACAGGGTGTGCACACATATTCCCACACACAAACTTGGATATGTACACACACTTAGAAACTCACAGCACTGTCAAAAACTCAGAAATAAACTGTCACACAGGCTCTTGTCCTTTTTTTCCTCCCCTATTTTTTTTTGTGGTACTGGGGATTGAACCTGGGATGCTGTACCACTGAGCGACATCCCTAGACATTTCTATGTTTCATTTTGAAACAAGATCTTGCTAAGTTGTTGAGGCTGATCTCCAACCTACTGATCCTCTTGCCTCAGTCTCCTGAGTAGCTGGAATTGTAGGCATGTGCCACCACACCCTGCTATTTAAAAGTTTTTTTTTTTTTTTTATTGTGGTGCTGGGATCCAGCCCAGGGCCTCACTCATGCTTGGCAAGCATTATATCTCTGAGGAACACCCATATTCTTTAAATATACATGGTCACATTCAGGCTCATTCACATGCCCATGTATGCACACTTACATGCAACCACATGGTCCCAGTGACACGGTCAAGACTGGGTGGAAGCCCTTGCCACCCCCTGCTTCCATCCTGTTGAACTGTTGGCTTTGAGACGAGGTTATCAACACCAGTCAGCTCAGGCGCCCACGTAGCCAGGTGTGGGCAGGGCACACCTTGTTTGTTTGTGGTTGTTCCTGGTAACAGTAGATTAGGCTTCAAACAGATCTGAGAGAAGGCCATAAAGTGGCTGTCACACGGGTTTCTCAGAGGGGCCACTATCAAGGGAAGGATAAGTCCTGGGGTGCCGCAGCCTGCAACCAGAGGCTCACAGCTCATACTCCAAAGCCCATGGCCCTCTCCTGGGATTTCCTCCAGCTTCCATGGGAGCTGCTATAGTCCCAGCCCCATCCCAATCTTGTCACCTCTTGTCAATCCTGTAGTGAGGGTTTTAGTTCCTGTCAGCAGCATGAGGTGTTTGGGACCAGCCAGCATCTCCTCTGTGAGGACCTGCACACAGCAGCTCTCTCTGTGACTGAGTTTCTCACACATAGGATAAGATTTCTGGGCTGTCGTGAGGACTCAGGAGAATGACCTGCAGACACAGCACTTGGCCCTCTGGTCACATGTATATGGGACTGATTTGAGCCTGCACATGGGGATCGAGCCATGCGTCAGGTGCAGCTCAGTGGACCCTGGGTGCAAGCTTTACAGAATGGTTTCTGTGAACATGACCGTGTCAGTCTTTTGCCCAGTTCTGCAGTGCTGGCCCGTGCTGCTCAGTTGTCAGGACTGTCCATTGGCCAGGATGGGCTTTCTAAGAACTTACCTGCTAAAGACATATCAGCTTCTTCATGCTGAGCAAGGTCAGCCAACCTAGAGATGACCCAGGCTTACAGTGCTTCCTCTGTCAAAGCAAAAGGGTGAGAAAACCAGGGCATTTGGTCAGAGCAAGAATGGAAGATGGAGGAGCAGGCAGGTGACTTGCTGTGCTACCCTGATCTGACTCTGGGTGATCGCCCTCCTCAGTCACCTGACTCTCCATCATTGGAAGCTCCTTCTCCCAGGTGCAGGAGAAGTGGACTGGAGGTCTGAAGGTCAGAGAGCCAAGTGCAATGGCTGGTGATGAGCCCCAGAGTTTTGTGGGTTCCAGTGGTTGCTATGCGGCCTTATCCAGAGAAGATGTGTGTTTCTGCCTTTCTAGGCAGGTTGAAGTACTGAGGTGGCATCCAAGGTCCACCTTGCAAATGCATCAGAGCTGTTCAATGTGTTTTTTAATGTTCAGACTATGCAAACTGGTCTAAAGTAAGATGTGAACACCTTGGACTTGGTAGCCTTGATGCATGATTCTCACTGTGGTCAGCTGCCCCCCTTATTCTAAGGCAGGAGAAATAATATGGAAATAGCATCTATATCTAGCATCTGTATCTATATTTCCTGTCCTGGAATCTGGCTTTAGCCATTCTGAAGGAACGAATCTTGAAGTTTTTACTTGATCATGCATGGTCCCAGGCAAGGTGGAACTTGAGCAGCCCTTGCTCACAGAGCTTATCTCTCAGTTGCTGGAGGGCACTTGGGGCCAGGCCAGGTGGGCAGTGTTACTGCATTCCATCTTACCCTAGGGGGATGCACAAACGCACTTGATTTCTGGACTGAATTCTTTAGTGGCTTTTTTTTTTTTTTTTAATTCAAGTTTCTGATATTGTTTGGAGCTTCTCTTTTTTTCTTGCAACAAACATGCTTCCAAACAATTAATTTAAAAGTTAATAGACTCTACTTTTTAGGGCAGTTTTAGACTTTTAGAAAAATTGAACACAGGTCCTCATCTCCCTCAGATAAACATTACATCCTGTGACACACGTATTACACTTGATGGGCCAATATTGAAATGTTATTTATTAACCTAAGTCCATAGTTTATGCTGGGGTTCACTTTGGGTACTCTTCATTCTGTGGGTCAGCATGAAAGTTAATGGCATGCATTCCCCCATCACAGTACCATGCAGAGTAGTTTCACCGCCTAAAAATCTGTGTTCCACGTATTCATTCCTCCTTCCCCCAACTTGTGACATTCACTGATTCTTTTACTGTCTCCATGGTTTAGTTTTTTCCAGAATGTCATGTAGTTGGAATCGTATAGCATATGAACTTTTCAGACTGACTTCTTAAACACAGTAATACCACTTCATGCTTTTCCATTCTTTTCATGCCTTGATAGCTCCTTTCTTTTGATCGCTGATTAATCGCGAGTGGAATATAGGCAATGACTTCTTAAAGGCAGAGGCTCTGATTGCACATTTCTTGTCAGCGTGTCACACACGTAGTGAGGCACAAGGATGCACGTGTGCATTGAGAATGTACTCTACTTGGGGTGACATGAATCCCAGTGCTCTGTTAACCATGGGATCTCCTTGTTCAGTGCCACCATCACCCTGTACATTTTCTCAAGCTTTTATATATAACAAACAAATGAAAAGGATATGTCCCTGTTTGCCAGCTGCTGTGTGTGTGCAGAAGGAACTGCCAGTTAAAAGGGAAGGATGGGTGCCATGAGAGAATACCCCCTGGCCCCAGCAGGAATGAGTCAGAATCCTGGTGGAGTCATGAGAGGCCCCAGACAAATGAATGACCATGTGTCACATATTCCTTGAGGAACTTACTGAGTAAGATAAGCAAAAAAGCTATAAATAGTTGCCACAGTAAGAACCAAGGTCACACTAACCACCCACTCCAAACTGCAAGGACAATTAGCCAGATGCCTGGGTTTCTCCTTCCTTTCCACATTTCCAGAAAATTCTTTTTTTTGAGAATGGAAGCATGCCAGGGATCTGGAGGTGGGAGAGCCAGGAGAGTGCTGAGGAGAGAGGCAGCTCATGGGGATTGAAATGCTGTTTGCAGGTGCTAGGATCCTGGTCAGCCTCTCAGAGAAGCAAAAAGCAATTTTGATCCCTAGCCTGCACATGACCCTTTGTACTCAGGAAGAGCTCTGCTTTCCTGTAAGCAGAGACCCTGATCTGTGGCAGCTGTCGTTCTGAGCATCTCAAACACTATATCTTTTATTCTTCACAACTACCCCATAAAGAAGGTACTATTACTACCTATAGTTTTCAGATGAGGGAACTGAGGCTCAGCGGGGTTTCAGGTCAATGTCCGGTAGCTAGTAAGTGTCAGAGCAGAGAGGCTACTGAAGGCAAACCCTAAAAATGGGCTCTTTATCACCACAGGGTCAGTTGTTTCTGATGTCTTTATCTCTCCTGCTTGGGTTTTAGCTTTGATTGTATTACTTTGCCTTGTATGTGTCTTTTTGGGGGAGTCAGGGTACCAGAGATTGAACTCAGGGGCACTCGGCCACTGAGCCACATCCCCAGCCCTATTTTGTATTTTATTTAGAGGCAGGGTCTCACTGAATTGCTTAGCGCCTCACTTTTTGCTGAGGCTGGCTTTGAACTTGCAATCCTCCTGTTTTAGCCTTCTGAGATGCTGGGATTACAGGTGTGCGCCACCCTGTCCGGCTACGTATGTGTCTTTCTTCATAAGCTGTCTCTTCTTTGGAGGACTGTGGTAATGAAAGGAAATTCCTTTCTACCATCTCATGTGCTGACTGGAGTATCCACACTAACTTTGGCACATTTAGACTCTATTTTGAGTTCTACTTCTAGAATCGGCTCTAGAAGAGTCGGTCCATTTTATAGAGAAAGCATGCCCTTGTGTGGGTGTGAGGAGTGTGGGCAGCTTGCAGATCACTCTGCAGAGCCCTCCACCTTTCGGGGGGGTTAGCTTTCCATGATTCCCAGTGAGGAAGGGCTTGGATGGCTCAGAAATTTCTGTTCTGAGAGT